TTAGATTCAGGACTGAATTAAATACATTTCAATCTTAAACAGTTGTTCAGGATACTAGTTTGGCTCTGCGTAAAACGTGCAGAAAAGTTTATTAAAAGCTGTACACATTTAACTATAGTTGTCAAAAGTTTGGCTGGTTGAACATTCTTATCCGTCCTAGGTACTTAATTTTATATTCCCGATATACATGATACAGACACTCGTGGTCAACATCAGCAAAATCACTTCATTGCGAAAATTAGGTGTAATAGGGTTCAACGAACTCAACATAGTTTATATCTGGATCGACATTCGAGTTACAACACGTTTTACATGTATACACGTAATTGTATATATCCTCCGGATTATGTGTAGTTCTAATTTGTCCGTGTTTGTTTGGCTCTGGTGTAAATTACAAAGTATTCTGTAATCCAGTGAATAAACTAATAAATATATGCCATATCATATCATATCATATCATATCGGGGCTCGAACTAAGTTTAAACAAACACAATTCATTGGCAAATTCACATCGTTCTATTTACCAATACAAGCAGTGTAAAAAACAAGGCATTGACATAACATCAACATTGTGATTTGTAACGTAATGCCCCATATTTATTTAAAAATTAACAAAAGTCATATTATTTATTATATTTTGATGAAATACAGAAAGATTACAATATAAATTATTAATAATTATGTTAATGTTAAAAAATAAATTCAATTATTCAGTGTATGTTTCAGTTGGCATTCGACTGAGAAGAATGTCAATGTCATTGTCGCGGTGATTGCGTAACACATTCACATTAAACCAGATTTGACACATAAATGTAAACAAAATACAATTCTTCATTCTTGAAAGTTACATTTGTTCACGCGAGATTTCAATACCGGATGCGCCTACAATATTGCTCAGCCCATCACGTGACTACATCCACAATGAATGTGGGGGCAGTTTTAATAAATACTCGGTAAACGAACGATACCAGAATAGTTAACATTACATTGAGTTACGAGTATCTGAGACTGAATTTACGCAGGTTTTTGTGATCATTATTTCATAGGGCACCAGTAATCACTTTTTATGTCAGGTTATCTCTTAGTATGGTGTAGACCACTGTCGTAGTTTTAACTTCAGTACCCATGCTAGTATGGGCTCTTTACGCAAAACATGAAAGTTTTCTGCAACATATAATCAAATCCGAAGACGATGTCTCTGTTCATCTTGCCACAGCAGTTATCACAGTATATTAACACATATTTCTTCAGATGTTCATCACCATAACATCACCATGGCGACGGGTGGGTAATGCTATCATAAACAGGAATGATACGATGAAACAGAAAAACCGCCACTAAAAATAAACATATATATTCACATCCATTTGCTTTCTAGATAGGAATTATAAATACACGCGAGAAATGATTCAGTAATTCCATATTTGGTTTATATGTATATATATATTCGATGTGTGTGTGTTACTATCACATTGAACTGTGAAAACACATGTCGGGTTCGATAGACTCCATGTCTCATCTAATTTGAGATGCATGCGTTACTTGACTTTTTATAACTTTAATATTATTAATATCTAGACAATCTCACTCTCAAGTTCGTCATTTGATATGTGTGAACACGTATTAGTGGTATAATAAAAAAAATAAAGGACACACATGGATTTACACCAGACTTTCAGCACATTCAACAGCGTATTATACTAGTATGAGATGGATTTTTATTTTATATAATTTCAAGGCTAGTCAAAACAAAACAAAGGAATGAACTAATTTTTTGATGTTCATGAAATGTGAATAACGCCCATTACGTAAATGAATAGACATTGCATGTACCGGTAAATTAATGGCATATACAAATTTGTCACCAAAACACTACTGTATATATCGTATGCACATGGGAATGCGAGTCCGCACTATATTCCAGCTACTACTATCTTCAGTTCTATATGGTTTGAGATTCCATATACATGTACTTAAAGCGGGAGGGGCGTCACCTGCGCATGCGCGGGAATTCTGAGCGACGAAGTGTGTTAACAACATACGCTAAAATGCAAAGGCTCATGGGTAGACTTGTTTATAAACGATGACCCCGCTGGTAGATTCTTGAAGTTGCTTATTTGTTTACTTCTTGATAAACAATGAAATACGGAAAGCTCGTGTGACCTACATGGCCAACCGCAATGCATTTTTTGCCGACTTTATGACTGTATTGAATTAGGATCTGTATGCAATGAAAAATGACGTCCGGGTGTACATATTTGATAAGATGTAGTTCTCTTTATTATCGACGAAGATGTGAGTCAGCTCGTATTTTGCGTTATTTGCTATATAAGCTTCCAGCCATAAGATTGGTCGAAAAAACGGTATATCGAAACTAAAATAATTAGAAAACTAAACTCTTTATAAAGAAATGTTTAATTATTTGTAACTAGTGAGTAGGACAATAATACGTATGCGAAGTATGAAGTTGGTGGGTCAAAAGGAATACGATGAAACGCATGTATCTCTTTAAAACTAGCACTAACCATTGACGCTCTTGAACTTGACCTCGTTTGTATCGGTCACGGTGAATGCCAGGAGGTTAAAGTTATTTTTATTACCTCCACTCGCCTATAACGGGTACGACTTTTACTGGAACTTACCGTTAAAGATAAAACCACCGACTCAAACAGACGTGTATACACACGATGTTAAAAAGATGGCATGATAATGATTGCAGCCGTGACGACGAAACTGGTGATGTGATGTCATTTCCTGTCCCACATTCTTGGTACGCTGAAACTTTAAACAAACATTTGAAAATGTATAAATAACACGATCTCCTCTCAGACGACACACATCATTATAGCGTTGACAACGGATCCCTATCCCTAGTGTGCATTACTAGTACTAGAATAAACAAGCAGCCTATCGGCTGGGATAGCTCCGCTGTTAGCAATGCACATTTCAATTAAAGAACTGAAGACATCATTAGAAAATGAACAATATGTATAGTATCAAAGCAATCGGACTTACAGTTTTTAACAAGAAGTCGAAAATATCACTTTTTACCAAAAATGATAAAAATATTCACCAAAATTAGAGAATTAAAGATATCATTACAAAAAGAATAAATCTGAGAGAGGTCCACATGTAGTACCTATATATGTAATATCAAAGCAATTGCACTTGCGGTTTTTAACAAGAAGTCGAAAATATCACTTTTTACCAAAAATGACAAAAATATTCACCAAAATTAGAGAATTGAAGATATCATCACAAAATGAACAAATCTGAGAGAGGTCCACATGTAGTACCTATATATGTAATATCAAAGCAATCGGACTATTGGTTTTTTACAAGAAGTCGAAATTATCACTTTTTACCAAAAATGATTAAAATATTCACCAAAATTAGAGAATTAAAGATATCATTACAAAATGAACAAATCTGAGAGAGGTCCACATGTAGTACCTATATATGTAATATCAAAGCAATTGCACTTGTGGTTTT